GAAAAGGCAATAGTGTTGCAATGAGGAGTGCGATAATTGAACACTTGGTTAACACTGATCATTGCATTTCAACAAACGCCTCCTTCAAAGTAATCTACAGAGTCAAGAATAACCTATCAAAGGCAATACGGTTTCGTCTTCTTTTTATCGATGAAGCTCTGGACATTCACATAGAAAAACCGGAGCTGTGCATACAAAAGAAGATTACTCAACCACTTCTACTGTCATGTAACAACTTTTTTTTGTTTCGATTTGATTTGAGTTTTTTTTATATTGATGACTTAATTTTGTTTCTTTGCCTGTTTTTTAATTGCTTAGAATTCTTGTATTCATTCAGAACTCTTACCTAATTTCGTATTACCTACTTTGTTTCTATGTGCATCCAGAGTAAAACTCACTCATCAAACTATTCATATTATTACATAACTTCTGACTTTTTAACAACTGTTTATGACAACTCATCATCACCTTTGGTACTACCCTAATTTCATTAACACCTAATTTTCTTGACTTGTATTACCAATCTTCACCTGTTTAGTTAAAATAGACATAACCAAATGTAATTTTGTTTGACAAACTTAATGTACACATACATTCAAAATAACTCATATATATTTGCGATTGTACAGCTGAGAAAATGAATTCGCCGCCGAAAAGAGTCTTTCGCTGATCTACACGTTTTGTTTTCATTAATGCCTGAATGGGGATTATCCATGAAATGCTCACGTTTTCTACACTCAAGAGCCAGTTTTTACAGCTGCAAATAGGAATAAAACAAACTTTTGCATTCAATCAACTAAAGCCAATTCATTGTCTACAGTGATACTGCATGATGAATAATTTTATATAGTGGTCAGAAGTGAGAGGAAGAAATTTATCATTTGCTTTCAAAACTTAATCTCACCATATTCAGATATACACAAACGGATAACACAACACCATTGTGTAACTGAACCACTGTTTAGTACATCAGATCAACTTCTTCTTTACACAACAGGTTTATTGAGATGAATAAAAAAAGAAATGACTATAATTACTTCTCAGGAGAAGTGAACTGCTATGTAGAGAAGTAATTGTATTCCTAAATCATGGCAGAAAATATGAGTAACATATGAGTATCTCAGAGATACACAAAATACGTAATCATACACATATTAGTGTGCTTTGCAATGGATGCTACTTACTTTATCATCATTAATGGTACTACTTTGGAAGCAAGTTACACTGCTCAGTGGGGTGGATATTCGACCCGCATATATATACAGAATTACAGTTTTAAAAAGTACTTATGAATCATTGCTCCCGGTCATCACTTAAAGGACACGCGACAGTTCATTCCATCCTCCCTTATGGCTGTGAGGCATGGACATGGAAGTGCAAGATTAGCTGCTTTTTATCATAGGTACCTGTGTCCTACTTCCCATGTTAGGTGATGTAATACATTGAGTAATAATGAGGTTAGGCTCAGTGTTAAGCAAGGAGAGAAAGCCTATCAATAAGGTTGTGAAGCTACATCGACTGAGATGACTACGACATGTGTTACCCATACCTAGCCATCGCCTTCCTCGACAAACAATGTTAGTGACATTGGATCAGGTTAAAAGTGGGCTAGTGGTGGTCAAACCGAAACCCTGAGTCAGTTTATGTAATCTTTGACATGCAGGGAGGTACAGACTACCTGTTTGGGGGCCTTGGGATGGTAAGAACCAATGGTTGGAGACAAATGGTGATATGGTTGAAAACCTTCATTCTCAATGGCTGACGCAGATGCATTCACTCTTTGTGATTGCACATATCCAATATAACCTTATTCTTTTTCCATTTCACTATTATTTCTCTCTCACATTTCTGCCTGTTGTTCTCTTGGATCTTGCTGTTTCTCCCTTTTTCTCCTTTTGTATGCTGCATGGAGTGTAGCAACTCGGACTGTTGCACTTCTGTGCCACGTTCTATGATGAAAATAATTAGTCAGTCAGTATGGCAATGCCAGTTTCCATATTACTATTCTATACCTAGTTCGTCGGTAGATGAGTAGTTTCGAGATCAAGAAATTATCATTTAAAAGTGCTGTATCTTAATCAATGGTTAATAATAATAATAATCACTTTATTATTATTATTATTATTATTATTAACCATTGGTTAAGATACAGCACTTTTAAATGATAATTTCTTGATCTCGAAACTACTCATCTACCGACGAACTAGGTGTAGAATAGTAATATGGAAACTGGCATTGCCATACTGACTGACTAATTATTATTTGACTAATTATTATCGAATGCATCACCCACAAAAAGGTACAAACGCTTTAAAAGTAAATTTTAACTAACTTTATTGTAAACCAAAATACTAAGTTGTTGAAACTGTATAGATTTGATTCATTTGAAGACGAACGTCATAAGGAACTAACATCAATTACACAACCACACTGAAAACCATTAGGCATAGGATGGGTGTTTTGCCTAACTGTGAGACAGTGGCACCTAGATGATGAGAAGAGCAGGTCACTATCCACCTGCTGGCTCATGAATCTTAACTTTCGTAAACACAGGACCATGCACAGCAACATGCAATCCTGACGTCGAGTCCGCCTTTTCACAGTCGAATCGGAGGACTCTACGAATCACGACTTCTGATCAGAACTCTAGGTATTCCATCCTACAGTCAGTCAATCAGTCACCGGTGAGCAGTTGCCTGTTTTCTCTTAAATGTTGGTGAAGTGCCCTTTTCGCTGCATAAAAGTCTCGAGTTCAATCACAAGTGTGGTCTCGGGTCCGTGTTGCTCCGGTGTCCCGGACTAGAGCGAAATGGTGGGCTAGTGACATATTTGTGAAGAAATCTACCTTTAAACGGTATACTCTTACAAAATGATACAGCAATGTAGGTGGGTCGAACCCTAGTAATGTATGCCACAACTAAATTATTTTGTATTTCATTTCAATATTAATGCAATAACAAATAGTCATACTTTATTTATGCTAAGTACCGTATCTTAAAAGACCAGAATGACTCGAATACCAAACGACTGGCCGGATTTATTATACTAATATTAAACCGCTAAACACACTGTGCGGCTCGAGTGGGTTTACTAAAGCCAAGAGTGTTTCAATTCAGATACGTTATACAATTAATTCATTGACAAACAGATAGCTGCACTAAGACCCACAAGCACAGAATAACTCCCTTATTCTTCGCATAATAAATAGTTAGCCAAAAAAATGTTCATCTACTGGGTACTTCATGAAGACTGATCAACTTAAAACTTGATATATACGTGGATCAACATAACCACGTACATGTCAGGGTAACCACGTAAATGTCAGGGTCCTCGAGACGGTAAAAATCAATGGTTGGAAACAATTGGTGACATGGCTCAAAATCGTTCTCAATGGCTAGCGCAGATGCATCCTCTCCTTGTGACTTATGATTTCCAATGAAACTGTTTTGTTCTTCGTTATTGCTCTTCCTTTGTCTCACACCTCTGCTTACTGTCTCTATTATGCTTTTCTTGTACTTTCTTCTCTTGCTTCATGTGCTACACGGAGTGTGGCGACTTGAACTTCCGCACATTTGTGCAAAGTTCTATGCCGAAAACAGACAGACAGATCAATATAACCGTACAGCTGCTGTTTCATTTATTTTATTTTTTTATTTTTGATTACAGCTTGATTCCACACCCTATTTTTGGTAGAAGTATGGAATTTTCAGCATGTGATATCGGTAGCCCAAATTTTTGCAGACCGATCATAGATATCAGGCGTGCGTCGGCAGCGGATCGAACCTTAGACCATGAGTATGGTCAGCGAAAGTTCTAACCACTGTGCCACCGACGCAAACGTTTTTAGAAATGAACTTAATTTGCAATTCCTGGGCACTATAGCAACTCACAAAAACAGGGGTAATAAATACATTGGTGTCATTAAATAGATCGTATAAAAATCCCTTTTAGTAAACTTTAATTGCATTTTTCAGGAATAAATAAATAAAGCGGAATCCTAACAACAACAAAAAATACCCTCATAAAACAGAAGCATCCAAGAAACATGTACATTAAAAACTGATGTTTTGTCCTACATACCCACACACACGCACAGACGAAATCAACAAAAGTCAAAACAGTGCACAATTATCTTTTTATATATTACAAGTGAAGTTACCAAGTTTGTTTAAAGTATGTACAGAAAAGCAAACACAACAAAAAACCAAACAAACATAAGACCAAAATATAAATTGAACAACAGAACGAAAGGAATAGATACACAAATTCCCAAATGATAATTATATATATATATATTTGTTTTTTCTCAAAGTGAGAAATATTTCACAGGAATTGCATTTTGATGCACCAATAGTGATTTTACATAACACTGATATTATTATTATTGATTAATTATTCCACAAAAGGCGAGTAAAAATAAAACAGTTCAGTAAGTTGAATTTCCATGAAAACATGCAAAAATGTAAGTGAAATAATTTGATGAACAGGGGATTTATACGCATTTTAAACATGGGTATTAGTAAGTAAGTAAGTAAGGTGCTTTCTGTAACTTGTAGTTAGAATTAGACAGTGGTACAAATAGACAAAGTGATTGAAAAATTAATGGCTGATTGTTCAAAACCATAACAGAACTCTGGACAGCAGTTTTTTTTCCTCACTAGGGTGGGGCCAAAGTAATTTGTTACCATGTCCATGGCAATGCGTCTTAAACAAATACCTTTAACTTACATCAACGATTCGATCTGTAAAGTTGATTTTTGAATAAGATGAAATCCCTAGCCTAGATAATAATGAACAGCTCCAACTTCCTGTAAATAAATACACAACCTGAATGTCTTTGAATCACAGGATGTATTTAATGTATTTATCGTAAGAAAAATAACCAAAAGTTTACGAACAGAAACTTGTAGAATTTATATCACAATAATATAAGGTAAAACAAAAATACGAAAATGAAGTCAAATATTGCTCCTTTTGTACAAAAAAAAATTTGTATTTTGTTAAGAGTGAACTGTTTTATCGTATACTAAAGAAAATGAATATCCTTGTCTTTGAAATCCTGGATGTTGTGATAGTAATTCAGTCAAATTGGATAACTTGACTACTTCATTCCCACTGATATACACTATACGCAGACGAGGACAATTAAATAAGTCTTCAATTGACTTGAAATCATACAATCGATTGCGTTGAACAGAAAGACTAGATAGAGACGGAAGACGAGAAATCCCATCAAGACTCATTAATTGATTATCGTCTAAATTTAACTCCAAAAGGCATATAAGGTAGGCAAAAGTATCCGGGATTCGTAGGATTGAATTATTGGAAAAATCAATTCTTGTCATTAATGTATACCAATCAAGACTATGAAAACAGCTCATATCGACATTGTGAAGGACAACTTCTCTTGACTGATTTTCATAAACATTAGCAAGAACATCTAGTGCAGCATAAAAAGATCGTAGGTGTTCATAATAAAAAGAACGCTGTGGATCAACAGATACTAATTTATTCAACGATTCATTCACTTCTTCTTTAAAACCCTGTGGTCTAACAAATCGAAGTAGGCTGACAAGTGTTAGGAGAGCCCATTTGTTTTTGGTTCCAAGGACACTAAATCGCGGACAGTATCAAGTTCTCCTATCAAATCGTTTGGATCATGTATAGGCAGAATCATTGGATTTAATAGCCTCAATGGATCCAGAGCAACACGGGTCAGAGATTCACTTTGATGAGAATCCATGCAGCATTGTAAAACAGAATATTCACCGGTATAACCACACTTGTTTTCACACGATTCATGACATCCTTCATTTCTCTTCGGAATGCATACTTGCGCCACAACATTCCAGGGACGTGATTGGTACAGATGCTTATCACTTTCAGGCGCGTATCGAAACACTAAGTCTTGACTAATCGGTAACCACCAAACGGCTGACAAATCATCTAAAACTGAATTCCATCCACCAAGAAGCTCAGGTGTTAAAGTTACAGCATCTGAAATAGTACCGCCATAAGGAAACACTTTTATGGAAACTTGCAACTTCTTCAAGGCTCGAATCAGTTTTGGGGAGCTAAATACGAGGACAAATCTCTCCATCTGCCGTGAAATATACAACTCCCTCAGGTAAACTTTCCTTTCCCCACGACCCAGTAACCACCAGTAATAAAACCAAGGACTCTGGTCGGCAGGATCCGTATATATTGCATTGTGTACAAGATCCAACTCCTCACTTGGTACTGAGAAGTCTAACAGCGGTCGACAACATCCTCTGTCAATTTCAATATCAGGCGGAGGACTTAAACGTGGTGAAACACAAGAAGTGTTTGACGAACAAGTAAGAAGCTCACCCCGATAATGCCAGGCCGAATAATTACTCATGTTCCTTTCTATTGCAGCATCGGTAAATTCACGCTCTAATTCAATGGGAATACCTCCCTTAGAAACAACGAAACGACGATAGTCCCAGCAATGGAAATTTCTTTCATCCAACTTTAAAGCCATGTTGCAAAACTTAACTTCAGATTCCCAATTAGGGGCTGTATGATTATTCATAACCCAAGAGCGATGGTGCCAGACGGCATAGGACTTCGGTGAATTGTAAAGACAACGAGTTGTTAAGTCTAACTCAGCTTCCATCAATTTTGACACCTTTTCTGTATCGTCAGAATACTTTACCATGAGGTGCATCAAAATTTCGCGTCTATAATTCCACAATGTAGTTGTATCTGCAGATGTTTCAACCAGAGTAGCAATCTCCCTTAAATGTATCTCATTGTAATCACCATTTTCACGACAGGCCCACAGCTTTTCACAACCATCATGAAACTGTTTACTGATCTGTTGCATTTTTAGCAGTCTAGCACGCTCCTGTTCAGCTGTTTGAATAACTTTAACTCTCCCATGCATGTTGTATGCAATAATATGTTATCGATAGATATTTAGACGTCCAGATAGAAAACTTCTGCAAGGCAGAGAATACAAAAACGATTGTGAAACAAAACCCAGTAAGCGCAACATGACTCATAAAAGAACCATAAAATGGCATCCAGTATACCACGATCAAGCATGCAAATCTTCGTCTGTTGAAAGGTCACCGTTCTAAGTGTGACCAAATGAAGTAATACTATCAAGTAAAGTAAATAAACATGGACACAAACGGAATTATGCTGACAAATCAAAGTGTGAACGGAGAAGTTCAACAATAGCGTCCTAGAAGTGCAAACTCTTCAGTGAACTTGAAAGCGTGCTAATCATTGGCACCTTTCATTACCATAGCTGAAATACCAAAGCTATTCACCAACTTATGAGAAAATTTCACCCAGATAACGTCTTTAAGTACTATTTGAACAGTGTTAACATTTTGTTAAGCTTAAGATAAGGGTTAAGGTAAGCGATAGGTTAGGGTTAGGATTAGGGTCATAATTAGGATTGCGGTTAGGCTTACAGTTAGGATAAGGATTGCAATTAGGGTTGGGATTAAGGGTAGGGTTACGACTAGGGATAGATTTAGAGGTGATGTTATTTATTTTAATTTTATCCTCTATTCCCTGGTAAGTAGTTGCCGATCTCTTACCGAAAATCATAGTAATTCAACCGAAAGCTTTTGGGGAAGACTACACAGCAAGATAAGAGAGATAAACGATTTACAAAACAGCTTATCTTCAGTCATCTCGGTGAATTCGTGTACAGAAATTAGTCTAACTTTACAAGTGATACTTTTCATTATAGCTGGGACGTACCTTTAAGTTATATCAGAGAAAGATGTGTTTTCCTGCACTTTATTGTACATATAAGTCATTTCTCATGAAAAAATTCCGCATTTTTATGATTGGATGGCTCGAAAAACACATCCCTTAGGATGCTGTTGTTGAACTTCGCCACAATATGAAAATGAAATAGAAAATAAAAGCTGCCAAAACACCATAAGTGATTAGCATTTTTGAACATTTACTTACAAAAACGTACACGAAGCGCGAAAAGCAATTACTCGCAAACACAGACTACGGTAGCGACACCTCGGAAAATTGCGGTGTGAGACCAAGGTCAAAATTCAATTGCTTCAGCGAAAGTGGTGAAATATGAATCCTTTTAAGTGTACATTACCATAACCAAAATTGCTTTTCCTCTTCAAAATAAGGCGGATTGCTTTTCATGAGTTAGGCAAATAGATATATTTGTTTCAGCATTCTTTGTGTGCTATTCTTGAAAATTCCTGCCTCTGGAAAAGATAGGACGTTTCTTAAATATTAAATCTTCATGGTACTGCACTCTTATCAAGCGCCCACATTCACTATTAGAGTCTGCGTCCCAAGAGTCTCTCCTTTTAAAGCACACTGTTAGCAACATCTCGACCTCAACAGTAGGCTTCTTGATTCACTTTAGTCTGCCTCCAAAATAACTACTGATAATGTTTGTGTATTTCTTCTGTAGTACTTCCGATTATGGCCAATTTTGGCGAATTCAGGAAAAAGGGCCTAGAAAAAAATCTATCGTGTAAAACTTCTACACCAGACCACTGTGTTCCAGTTACACCATATATTAGTCCTCCCAATACGTACTTAGTGTGACTCATAAAGTTTTGAACAATATGATGGACACCAGTTTGCTTTCCGACATATACCTCACCATCACTATAAACAAACGAGCCCTACATGAATTATGTTGTTCAAATTGTATTCTACAGTGGTATGCTTAGTAAAATTTGCCTCCATTAGGTGATTGTCTTGCATTTTCATAGTTTCTGTGGGTCATCTATATCTCACTTATCCATTTCATCTTCTCCTAATACCGCTAATGTCGGTTTAAGTGTCTGTGAATGGCACAGTTGTCAATATATAAAGCTGATATCGACTCTTTTCTCAATTTCAATGCCATCAACTGGCACTTGTTACAAAATACACCCTGAAATGGATGTTGGTCATGGCATATTAGAATAACTGCCGATCCCACTAAGAACCCTCAATCTTATCCGCTAATAGGCCAGAATCTTCTCTAAATGATCGATCTTATGTGGGAAAAATAAAAAAATAAACAATCCTGATAGAATCGATTTTCCACTTGACTGCCGATATTAATGAATTACTCCAATGTTTTCACAGTCTGCTGGCACCGTTTATCTGAAGTATTTGGAATACTATCAAATATATCCTGTTCAGGTATTTATCATCTATATCTACCAACTTTACGATAATTAAGTATGTTGTGTGATCATTTTGTATATTACTATTCAGTTGTTCTTGGTTGTGCTCAGTTGGCGAAAACTAGTGAAATATAATGATGACATTTTACCGATAATGCATTTTGATTTGAACATATACATTTACATGGAAGTCTGGCTATTTTTACAGGCAAGATCGAACGTGATATAATATGAGAACGTAAAATGTGGTTAAATAACTGTTATTCCAATAGCTGAAATAGTTCGCTTGAAACATAATATGTCAGAACGTGACCATATGAATCCACAATTATGAAGCCTTAGTCTGCACTCAGTGGGAAACACAAACTTCCAATTTTTTCCTACTTGTAATTGTGTTCCATCAGTAAACGACCAATATTCAAGCAAATACCACTACCACGTGCGAGTGAATTAATAGCAATCAGGTGTGTTGAAGCGCTTCTCGACTGGTGCGCCGCGTTTGCTTAGTTACTGAAAACTGTCATTTCCCCGGCGTTTATGGCCAGGAAGTTGTTGAATTTATTGAAATTAGTTTACCTTCGAACACTGAATCTGCCATTACAATCTTGTTGACTGCTAATACCTATAACTAACTGTTTAGCATTTTGCGACTGTTCAACAGTAAATAACATCTATAATTGTATATATTGTTGAATTTACATGCCCGAGTTGACCCAAATCAGTGAGTCTATGATTTTGGTATCATTTTTGTAAACTGTATCTGACATTGATACCACTGATACGGATTTTTTATTGTTGTTGTCACTGACTTCTTATTATGAAGTTTTCTTATTTTGTCAGTGTTGTTCTGATTGCTTTATTCCTTATTTTCGTGATTCTGATGGGACAAACCCACAAAGTAACTCCTCTGTAAACTACCTGTTAGAACCCCCTTCCCAGGCATGAGTTCAACACAAATTAAGCCAATGAAGGTTGACAATGGAACGTCAATCACCAAAGAGATGGAGCAAAGAAAACACTGAGCTGAATACTTCAAAAGACTTCTAAATCGACTGCCACCCACAGCGAGCCCAATAGTAACTATCGAGGAAGCAGAACTACCAGTGGACACCAACCCTTTGAGTGGAACAGGAATCCTGAAGGCGATCAAAATGCCAAAAACTGGAAAAGCAGCATGACAAGACGGAATCCCAGCAGATGCATTGAAATTGGACTCCGAAACATTAGCAGACTTGATGACACTACTACTGGAGAAAGTGTGGCAGGAGGGCAAGGTATTTGCGAACTGGAAGAAAGGCTACTTATTCAAATTGCCAAAGAAAGGAAACTTAAGTCAATGCAAGCGCTGGCGCGGCATTGTGCTCCTGTCAAAACGAGGACCGGCAATGCAAAACAAGCTTTTCTTACTCACCAGTCTGTATGAAGATTAACAGCACTCAGCACGAAAATTAAGATCCGGATTTTCAACTCAAATGTCAAGTCAGTGCTACTTTACTGATCAGAGGCCTCGTGAGTTACCAAGGCCACTCCAAACAATCCATAGACCTTCATCAACGGCTGTCTTCACTCAGTAATATTCAAGATCATATGGCCGGCCAGAAAAGATCAGCAACAGGGTATAATAATAATAATATTCTCATTTTGTGCATGAGGGACGCTCGTTTACAGGTATCATCAATGTGATAAATTACGTATACGATTAGTATATGTAGGACGCACGAAATGTACAGTCATGGATAAGTGTAATTTAAATTACATAAATTTGGTTACTGGATAAATTACATGGTCGCCGACGTTTTTGTCTTTAGTTTGTGGGAACAACATGATAACTACCCATTCAATGGAGCACATCAAGAAATATAGAAATATTATCTTCGCATTAACAAAACAACCCGAGTGTGTTTTGGATGGATTACAAATACTTGGGAAAAAATAAAGCTTGAAGTAATTCCCCAATATAACTTAGGTATGTGCGAAACCGAATCTTATTCTTGATTTATATCCAAATTTGGTAATAACTAAAATAAGTGATACACTTGTATAGTTTTGTCAGTATTTTCCTCGTAACATCACGAGTGAATTGTACTCAATGTAGAATAATATTAACGATAGTATATATTTACTTATACATGGGTGTTTCCAAGAAAAGAAAGCTATTTTTACGGATACGATCAGTTATGTTATAAGTTACAATCATGACGTTGTATTACAAATTAATACTTTTCCATTGGTATAAGAGTATATTCCACAACTGTTATCCAGGTTGCGTCGTGGGGGAAGGTAATACGTAATTCACGAAGGAATTGTAAGATATGTGACCAATAATTTTACAGATCATTTGTCATTGTAATTGGCCAAATATCTACATACTTCGATCTCATCCAAAAAATCAAATGGAAGCTAAAATGGTGTGACAAAAAGGAAGACAAACAACAGCAACGCAAAAGAAAGCAAGAGAAGTCATTAAGGAGTGACTAATAAATACATACATGTATATTCTATTTAGTAACTATGGTTATTTTTGTGCTAACGTTTATACTATGCGTGAACTAATATTAATGCCCTATGCAGAAATGTTTATCATCTAGTTCCCACAGTATTAAAATTTATAATTGTATTTTGTTGCAACTACACACTTAGTGAACTTAAAATATCTTTGTAGGGTGAAAAAGAAGGTGCAAGAGTCAGACGTAGAAGTGCACTGTCATCTTTGAGCAGTCTGGTGACTGAGGAGATGAACACTGGAAGTGTGTCCGCATCAGGCACA